AAGATGCCTCCAAGACGGCCAAGATGGCCTCCAAGACGGGTAAGATGGCTCCAAGATGCACCCAAGACGGTCCAAGATGGCCTCAAGATGGTCTAAGACGGCCCAAAAGGCCGGCAAAAGGCCTCCAAGACGGCCCAAGAGCCCTCCAAGACGCCCTCCAGGAAGGCCCGAATAGGTTAAAATCATTGATTTTCCTAAGGTTTTTGAAGGATTTTGGCATGTTCTTCTTTTCAGCTCTCCGACGACCCCAGACGGCCCATGAGGTCCCCAACATCGCCCCAACAGCACCCAAGAGGCCGCCCCCTTTTGATTTATCAAAGGGGTGCCCGGCGTGCCAGATTATATGGCTTTTCGTTTTGGTTCTTTTTCCAAAAGAACTCCCCCTGGGGCTCCGGCGCGTCCCGCCGGCCACCTGGAAGAGGTGGTTGCAAACGGTTTTCCTGCTCCAGACGGCCCCAAGATGGCCTCCAAGACGGCCAAGACGCCTCCGAGACGGCCAAGATGGCCTCCAAGACGGCTCAGAGGGCCCCAAGATGCCTCCAAGATGGCCCAAGATGTACCCAAGACGGCCTAAGATAGCCTGAAGATGGCCCAAGACGGCCCAGGAGGCTCCCAAGAGGCTTCCAAGACGGCCCAAGAGGCCTCCAAGAGGTCCTCCAGGAAGGCCCGAGGTTATCGAAGGATTTTGGCATTTGCTTCTTCTCGGCATTCCGACGGCTCAAGACGGCCCAAGAGGCCCCCAAGATCGCTCGCCCACGAGGTCTCCAAGATGGCCCCATGACGGCCCAAGAGGCCCCCAAGACGGCCCCAAGAGGGCCCCCAGAGGCCTCCAAGACGGCCAAGATGGCCTCCAAGACGGCCACGATGGCCCAAGATGGCCTCCAAGATGGTCCAAGATGGCTTCCAAGTCCGCCCAAGAGAGGAGGAGATGCCTCCAAGTCCGCCCAAGCAACCTCCAAGACGGCCCAAGACGGCCCAAGAGGTGCCCAAGAGGCCTCCAAGACGGCCCAGAAGGCCTCCGAGAGGTCCTCCAGGAGGGCCCGAAGAGGCCAAAATCATTGATTTTCCTATGTTTTTGAAGGATTTGCGTATTTGCTCATTTTCGGCTTTCGGACGACCCAAGACGCCCAAGAGGCCCCCAAGATCGCCCCCACAGCGCCAAGAGACCTCCAAGATGGCCTCAGGACTGCCCAGGAGGCCCCCAAGACGGCCCCAAGAGGGCACAAAGACGACCCAAGAGGCCCCCAAGACGCCCAAGATGGTCTCCAAGACGGCCCTGAAGCACCCCAAGAGGGCCAGGCTCTGGCCCAAGACGGCCCAAGAGGCCTCCAAGAGGGCCTCCAGGAAGGCCAAAAATATTGTTTTTTCCTATGTTTTTGAAGGTTGTTGGCATTGGTTTCTTTTCGGCCATCCGAAGGCCCAATACGGCCCAAGAGCCCCCAAAGATCGCCCAAGAGGCCTCCAAGATGACCCCAGAACGGCCCAAGGGGCCCCCAAGACAGCCCAGGAGGCCTTTAAGACGCCCAAGATAGCCTCCAAGACGGCCCTGGAGCATTCCAAGAGGATCCCAAGTCAGCCCAGAGGAGCCCCCCAAACGGCTTCCGACGGCGTCAGACGGGCCATCTTAGGACCGAAGATGGCCCTAAGATGGCCCAAGACGGCCCAAGAGGCTTCCAAGAGGGCCTCCAGGAAGGCCCGAAAAAGGGCAAAATCATGGATTTCCCATATGTTTTTGAAGGATTGTGGCATTTGCTTTTTTTCTGCCTTCCGACGGCCCGAGACGGCCCAAGTGCACCCAAAGATCGCCCAAGAGGTCCACGACAGCCCCGAGAGGCCCCCAAGACGGCCCAAGACCAGATCAAGAGCCCTCCAAAACGTCCTCCAAGAAGGCCCGGAAAGGGTCAAAATGGCCTCCAGGCGGCCAAGATGACTTTCAAGATGCCCACGTGTTCCCCGAAGACTCTCCAAACCCATTCGGGGAACACATGGTCCGATAGCTTGGCAGGTCTGGCCTCAACGTTCGGCCACCTAGGCGCTTCCAAGAAGGCAGGGGGCGGCGGTGATTCGCCGTAGGCGTCTTAGATACCAATGCTTGGATACCAATGAACCTCTTGCCCCTATTCCTCCTCCTGCTCGCTCTCAACATCGCCGCTTCGTCATCCAACTCCCATCGTCCTGATACTCCTCCCGCTCCGCGTCCCCTTTCGTTTCCAATACGTTCCGAATCTTCATCTTCCCCATCCACTTCCCATATTTCCAATATTTTCGTTGGAATCGAAGATTATGTGTATCTGTGTGTTTTTCTCCTCCAGAAGGCAAGGATCAGTCAACATCGAGTCGGGAAATCGGGTCCGGCAAAGATACGCAACAGCGCCTCGCAGACATCGGGCCGCATCGGAACTTCAGAATACCGGAATCGAGTCGGATCGGGCCGGCCAGAGCCGATGCCGAATCGAATCGATCGGATCGAGTGGACGCTAAAGGCCGCTGCTGGAGGCTGATCGATGTCGTCGCCGTCGCCAACGTCAGGGGTTCGGGCGGCGGCGTCGTCGTCGCCATCGTCAGAAACTCAATCGGAAGTCGTCGTCGTCGTCTGCCAGGGTCGTCGTCCCTGCCCCTTCGCCCCACCCACCTCCCCATTCGCGCACCACCGCAAGACATCCTAATTCTTACTGGCCATCGCTCGGACGTCCATTCCCTGTGTTTTTTCCGGTTTCGTGCGTGGCTTTTCCGCCAAATGATCAAGGATGCTCCTCGATGGTCCTCGCCGAGGAAAAAAACGCACACGTCCGAGCGATGCCAAGACTACTGCAGGGCTGCGTGCCCCCCTCGTCCCCCGCTGAGGCGCACCTCCGACCGGCAACTCCGGCCCGGGCACCCTGCAGCACACTGTTGACCGGCCTCGAACTTACCCACATCCCTGAGGTTGGCACGCCAAATGGCGATGACAAGCTCAGGGATGCACCCTCAGAAACTGAGGGAATCCCCAAGACCGCCATCGTGACGAGGCGATGCCCAACATAGGGATAGCGCGGCGGCCCGAGTCACGGCGCGCGCCCGGGGCCCGCACGGCGCCTGCAGCCACTGCTGCGCCAGCTCCCACAAGTGGTCCTCGTCCGGCCGGAAGAACGCGCACGACAGGAGCTGCTCCATCTGGCCCCGCGCGGGCTTCGCGAGCGCCCCAGCCCGAGCAAGGGGCAACTCGGGGGAAGGGGGCGGAGGAGGGCGAGAGGACCGGACACGCCCGATCGCTCACAAGTGGTCGTCGCCGCCGCCGTCGTCGTCGCACACCCACATTCGCACTTGCGTCCGCGTTCGCATTCGTGTTCGCACTCGAGCGCACATTCTTCCTCGTCGTGGCGGCTGCCGCCTCCGCCGCCGTCCGACTCGTCGCATCCGACATCGTCGCTGCCGCTGCCAGACACAACGGTCGTCGTGGCCGCCGCCACCGTCGCCGCCCTGGCAACCGCCGCCGCCACTGATGCCATCGATTGGGCGCCCGAGTTATCCGGGGTAACTCGGGCCCAGGGTAACTCGGGTTCGGAATCCCGAAAAGCGAACCCGAGTTATCCCTGACCCGAGTTACCCCTGATGATTCGGGGCTCTGAATCGACGTCGTCGGAATCGCTGCTGGCATCGCAGACATCGTCTGCCCGCCGACAACCCGGCGGGCCCCAGCGCAGAGGACGCCTGATCCACGTCCCACCGCAGCAGGGACAGGCCGTGCTGCGCGCGGGGCCCCACCGCCGCGGCCATCCGCTCGGGCTGCTGGGCGCGCGTGGAGGGCGGGGGGGAGCGTTAGAGGGCGACTGGCTCGGTGGGGGGGTGGAACCCAGGTCAATATCCGAACCTGGCTCAGGCGGGCTCTGCGGGATTCTGCGCGATCCTGCACGGTCAGTGCACCCCTGGCTCTGCAGGCTCCTGCAAGATCCTGCGCTCTGGCTGACCCCCGTTTGCATGGACCCCCGTCCCTTGAGCCCCGAGGGGGCACGTCGAGCTGGAACCGGAGATGCAGCGCCTGTAGGTCGGCGACAGACCTCCAAGAACAAATCCGCACCTTCCTGGCTGGGGGCGGGCTTGATCGGAACCCTATCGGCGATGAGTAAACGATTAGAGTCGATGCGACCTCTCCTGAGCCTGCCGCCACCCCTGACGTTTCGAGGCCTCCTAGATGGGGTCCGACTAGATGGGGTCGGAGGATTGCACCAGATCGCCGATATATCGCTGATGCATCGGCGATGCATGGACGATGCATCGGCGACGTCGGCGATGCATCGGCGACGTCGGCGCTGCGAAATCGGGCTCCACATCGAGCCGCATCGCCGATGTATCGGCGATGCCGCGCGATGCTCCGCCCCGATCTACGGGAACCCATCTGGGAAGCCTGGAGCGTTGCCCCTGGGGAATGGCTCCACCTCACCATCCTTCCCGCCTGGCATGAAAGACACGGGTCCTGGAAGAGAAGGTTCCCAGAGCAGTTGTTTCGCCGTTTGCGGAGCCCCAGGGGCTCGAAGGGGCCAAAGGGTTGTGCCAGACATTCGGGGATGAGAAATTGGCCCCAGGAAAGTCCCAGTGTCAAGGGGCCGCTCCCCACTGGACCACTTTCCTTCAAGAAGACCCCTCGTGAACGTGTTCTCATTCGGCGTTTCGACATTTGGGCGGAAGGGGCGGGGGAGGGGGTCTGGCTCCGGACCTCTGCTTAGTGCGACTGTTTTGCAGCAAGGCGTCCTACAGGAAGACTCCACCTGCTTGGAACAAGCGCCCAAAAAAGCCAAGATCTGTTCCATGGGGGGGGAGGGGGTGCGAGGAAAGCGAGGACCCGCGCCGATCGGCAAAACAATGAATAAGAAATCGATCACCTCCCATCTTTTGTTCACCAAAGCGGTTCCATGGCTGAATGGTCAAAGACAAGATGAAACCTAAGGTGAGCCAACGTAACGCCCATCCGGGGGAGAGGGAGGGCCCCAAGAGCTAAGCATTTAGAGCGGGCTCATCCCTCCCACTCTGACTTTCCCTCCCTGCCTGCTGCTCGTCGACGCCACGGCACCAGTCTTCATCACTTTGACGCCTTCAGCCACTCATTCCTGCTATGCTATACTCCTCATCTTCCCCGTCTAACCCTCCTCCTTCGCGTTCTCTTAGCCCATCTCCTCCTCCATACACCGTCACCGTGCCCCCTGGCACTTTGAGGCGTGGTAAACATGAAGAGTGCTGTCTGGTACCAGAATGCCGAGTGCACGCCGCCCCCCCCCTCCCCTCCCGATGCAACGACCCCTCATGGACAACAGTGGGTCCGCGCTCTCGAGGCGGCGACCCACTGTAAGCAACGATGGGTCCGCGCTCCCGCGCACCAAAGATTGAAGGGGCCCACAAACACACAAATAAATACACACAAATAAAAAGATTCCCCATATTCTCCCTATATGTTTCTGGGTTTTTTGTCTTCCCCCCCACTTCCCATATTTTCCCATATTTTCCTGGGGATCGACAATTCATTGTGTCTGTGTTTTTTTCCCCTCCTGACAGATGGCCGAGGCAGGCAACCAAGGCCGCCAAGATTGCCGAATGTGCCTCAAGTGCGGTGTTTGCCAGTCGCGGCAGGCCACCAGGGCCGCCAAGATGGCCCGGATTAAAAGAGCCCTGGGACACACACATAAAAACATAAAAATAACTGGATCCCCAATATTTTCCCTTATTTTCTTGGTTCCTGTCTTCCCCCCCACTTCCCTTATTTTCCCATATTTTCCGTGGAATCGACGATTAACTATGTCTGTGTGTGTTTTTCCCCTCCTGACAGATGCCTCCAAGACGGCCCAAGATGGCCCCAAGACGGCTCAAGACCTCAGGACAGCACAAGAGGTCCCCAATGTGGCCGGAGAGGGCCACAACAGGACCCCGAGTAAGGCTCGACGAGGCCAACATCACTGATCCCCTCAAGGCTTTTGACTTCGGCGTCTTCACCTTTTCGGACGTCGTTCAACTCTGGATGGCCCAATGCCTCCATGATGACCTCAATCTGGCCCAAGAGGTTCCCACAATGGCGCACATACATCTTTCAAGACTGCCTCAAGACAGCCCAAGATGACCCCTGCGCAAACTGCCTTGGAAGACCCCATAAGGGAGCTCTAAGCTGGCACAAGAGGGCCCCTCCCGAGGAACCCAAGACAGCCCAGGAGCCCCTCGACGGCCCAGTCTGGCACAAAGACGGCCCCAAGACGGCCCCAAGAGAAGGTGGCCCCGAGACGGCTCAAGAGAACCCCTCGACTGACCAAGAGGGACCCAAGACGGCCCAACATGACCAAGGACCCCTCAAAACTGCCCTACAAGAGCCCCCAAGCAGAGACGGAAGAGAGGGAGGACGCTGACAAAGACGAGAAAAGAACCCTCGACACAACGCAGATGAACGTCTCATCCTTGGTACAACAGGAGTCTCATGTTACCTGGTACGGCCTCGGGTGCCCCCTCGAACAATCGGCATCCAGAATGCTGAGCTGGCTCTGTGGCGGGACCCTCTGCAGGCAAACGGATAAGTCCCCCCTCTCACAACACCAAGCGTGTCCGTAGGCCCGGCCATGCATTCCATTTGCGACTTCCGTTCCTTTCGATTGTCGGGCTTCTCCTGACCAGGGTCACTGCAAATCGGGGCCAGGCAAGCTTTGCAGGATCTTGCAAGATCCCGCAGAATGCTGCTGGATCCTGCGCCCAAGCCCAGGTCAGTGTGCACCCCTGGCTCTGCAGGATCCTGCAAGAGCCGGCGCTCTGGCTGACCCCACCCCCCCGAATGACTCGCCAGGGCCATCGCTCGGACGTCAATTCCTCATGTATTTTTCGATTTCGTGCGTGTTTTTTTTTCCGCCAAATGATCAAGGATGGTCCTCGATGGTTGTCGCCGAGAAAAAAATGCACACGTCCGAGCGGTGCCGAGTTACGTCGAGCCCCAGAGGTCCCGACCCTTTCCCCATGACCGGCTTGGCATCCCGAGTCGTTGTTTGACGCTCCCGAGGCCCGGCGAGGGCCCTCGGAGGCCCAAAATTAAGAAAAACCGTCCGTCATGATCTTTTCATTACTCGAAGGGGGTCTGGGACCCCCGTTTGCATTGACCCCCCTTCCCTCCAGCCCCGAGATCGTACCGACTCCTCTGCTCCAGCGCCAGGACCCGCCCACCCCCACTCCCTTCCTGACCTCGCTCGGACGCCCACGCCCCTCTCAGCCTCGCTCGGCGTTTCTTTTTGCCTGCTGATCCAGGAAACTCCTTGATGTTCCGCGCCTGTGAGAACTACACGCGTCCGAGCGGTGCCAAGTCCTCCCAGGACTCCTTTAGGGGGCCACATGCGAACCCTACCCCTGCCACCCACGGTTTCTGAGGGGGAGGGTGGGGTTCACTTCGCCTCCCTCCCCCTCAGAAATCGTGGGGGTAGGGGTCGGGTTCGCATGTGGCCCCCTATCCTTCCGCCTCCTCGGCGCACGGGGGGGGGGCCGAGGCCTCCTAGATTGGGTCGGAGTAGATGGGGTCGGAGGATCGCGCTGCATCGGCGATACATCGGCGATGCATCAGCGATCCATCGGCGATGCATCGGCGATGCACCACCGAGGCACCGAGGCATCGCCGACGTCGGCGACGCATCGGCGACGTCGGCGTGGAGAAAATCGGGCTCCGCATCGAGCCGCATCGCCGATGCATCGCCGATGCGGCGCGATCCTCCGACCCCATCTACTCCGACCCCATCTAGGAGGCCTAGAGGGGGGGGCTGTGCGTCTGGCACGCGTGGTGCAACCGGGGCCACCCCCAGGGAAGGCCCGTCCCGCTGGGAGCGCCAACCACCCCGCAGGGCCCATGGACTTGGAGAGCGCTTCTCCATCTTTCGCGATAGCGGCCGCTACGGACCCCAGGCGCCCCCCCCCCCAACACCTCCAAGCTAGCATCGCGATTCGTGCTGACCTCCGAGTTGTTTTTGTTGTTATTCCCTGACATTCCCAGACGGGCGCCGGCGCAGAACTTGGCGTTACTGGCCGCGCCTCTCCCCCCCCCGTAACGCCCCGATCGATCGCCCGAGAAAACAGAAGACGCTCTCCTGCGAGGGTGGGCGCCCGTTGAGGAACTCGTGGCGGGGTGGGATGGGGGGGGGACGGGGCGCATCCCGTTCGGGGGTTGCTAGAGGTGCCCCTGGCCCGATCTGCTGCCAACTTTTCTCTCAACTGTTGTTGAACAGGGGTCGATCGTCCCGGCATTCCTATGGGCCTACCACAAAATGTTTTCAGAACCCAAGATGCACTAAGAACAAACACCATGTTCTTAGAACAACAAAAACCCGATGTGTGAAAGCAGGACAGCCTCAGCCAGACGTGCTCTAAGAACATGTCGTGCAGACCAACAAAAAGGTTCTTAGAACAGTCTTTGCTGGGCCTATGGGCAAGTCAGGACGCTTCGCCACTGCTCGATGTTATCCCGCCGGGGCATCGGTGACGCTGACCCCTCAAAAACAGGGAGGAGGCGGAGGAGGATGAGGAGGAGGAGGACGACGACGAGCAGGAGGAGATAGGGGAGGAGGAGGAGGACGAGTAGGAGGAAGAGGAGGAGGAGGAGGACGAGGAGGAGGAGGAGGAGGAGGAGGAGGAGGAGGAGGGGGCCTCGCGAAGGGTGCTCGAAGGGGGCCGGCGGCGGCCTCCTCAGAAAAGCTCAGGGGGCTCCCCGGGCCAGGGGGGGCCCTTCTGGCAGCGACCCGCCACAGGGGCAGCAGGCGGCGCCTGCAGCACGGGCTTGCCATAGAGCAGGTCCAGCTTGAGCACCTCGCGCGCAGGCTGCCCCGAGCGTCCATTCTCAGCCTCGCGCTCCTCCGCCTCCGCCTCCCCTGCTCGGCGCTCTCAGCATGGTCTTCGTGGTAGTCAGCAACACCCTGTCCGCCACTCGTCCACCCGCTCTGCTGCGTCTGCACTGGCTGAATCCTCCATCTTCTCGGTTCGACTGCTTCTGTGCTTCTCAATGTGTTAACCGTCTTCGGGTATACCGTTCACATTTGCGACACTCAGACGAAGTGGTACAACTACTACTCTTCCAGGGATAGGCAATCTAGCACAACTGCTACGCCTTCTCCACCTCCTCCTGGTCCCTCTGCACCATCACACGTTGCCAGCCACACTCCTAGAGGTCACGAGAGTTTGCGAATGACCAGTGAGGTGGAGAGACAGGATACAACAGCACTAGAACCATCACGAGCTCTCCGCGCGCACGTCTGTTCTTGCTAGCTGGGGCGCTATGGCATAGAACAGAAAGAGAGCATGGCATAAGAAACATATGGCTTTTCGGATCGTCTTGGGACCTTGACAAAGGCTCTACGTATGCCATCTCCTCTTCCAGAGGTGCCGTGTAGCTCTCTAGCCGACAACGAGGAGATAACAGGAGAGGTCAAACAAGAAATGAATGCCAAAGGGTGTGGACTAGACCTGTTTGTGTATGACTCACTGGTACATACCTGCGACCTCTTGAAGCGTATATGCGAGGAGATGGCGTAGAAGGCGGAGGAGAAGGATAATGACGCTGTTCCTCTCCTTGCACTGCCTCCCCCCCGCCCTTGCTCTGTCTTCCACGGAAGCGGTATCGGCGAGCAAGCGCCACGTGCATGCGAACGAACCACCTCAACAGCACAAGGGGGAACGGAACGGAACGGAACGGAACGCCTGTGCGGGCATGCGCCCGGGCCCCTCAAGGGCGAGGCGGGTGAGGCAATGGCCTCGCATGAGAAGCTGCGCGCGTCGGGGGTCCACTCAGGACAGTGCGTGCTTCAGGAGCTGCTTTCCCGATAGCAAAAGGGGGACCCCTCCCAAAGCTCTGCGGAGATCTCCCAGCGGCTGCTACCATCGCCCACCGGGCGCCCCGTGCCCCCCGATGCCCCGCCGCCCCCGCTGCGCTCTTTGCTGCCGGAGAGAGGAGGCGTTAGGACGAGGGCGATCCCTGCGAAAACCTCCCCGTCCTGGCCTCCTTCTCCCTGGCCATCGCTCGCGCGTCGGGGGTCTACTCAGGACAATGCGTGCTTCAGGAGCTGATTTCCCGATAGCAAAAGGGGGACCCCTCCCAAAGCTCTCCGCGGAGATCTCCCCCAGCGGCTGCCATCATCGTCCCCCGGGCGCCCCGGGCCCCCCGATGCCCCGCCGCCCCGCTGCGCTCTTTGCTGCCAGAGCAAGGATGCGTTACGAAGGGAGCTCCCTGAGAACACCTGCCTCCTCCTCTGCTGCATGCCCTCACCTCCTCCTCCTCCTCCTTTCCTCCCTTTCCTCCTCCTTTTCCTCCTCCTCCGCCTCCTTTTCCTCCTCCTCCTGCTGCCGGAAAAAGGATGCGTTATAAAGGGGGAGATCCCTGAGAAAACCGCCCCCGTCCTGGCGTTCCTTCTCCCTGGCAATCGCTCGGACGTCCATTCCCTGTGCTTCTTTCGGCTTCGTACGTGTTTGTTTTCGCCGAATGATCAAGGATGCTCCTCGATGGTCCTCGCAGAAAGGAAAATGCACACGTCCGAGCGATGCCAGGTTCCTCCTCCTCCGCCTCCTCCGCTGCATGCCCCCCCCTCCCGCCGCTTCTCCCGTCCTCCCAGCCGGGGGAGGAGGAGGAGGAGGAGGAGGAGGAGGAGGAGGAGGAGGCGGAGGAGGAGGAGGAGGCGGAGGAGGAGGAGGAGGAGGAGGAGGAGGAGGAGGCGGAGGAGGAGGAGGAGGGGGAGGGGGAGGAGGAGGGGGAGGAGGCCCCGGTGGGCCCAGGCTGGCCTGCCTGGACATGCGCAGGCAGGGAGTGCCGCTCCGCCCCTCGCTCCCTCCCTGCCGTCCTCCTATTGTGTGTTCCCTCCCTGTGTTTCGCTCCTGTCCTCCTCCCCCGCCTGCCTCATCCTCCTCGTGGCTGCTGCTGCGGCTGCTGCTGCTGCTGCTGCTGCTGCTGCTACTGCTGCTGCTGCTGCTGCTGCTGCTGCTGCTGCTGCTGCTCCTCTCATCTCCCTGATCTGCCTCCTCCACCTCTTGCTGCTGCTGAATCTCGTCCTCCTGTTCCTGCTGCTACTCCTATTGATCCTCCTTATCCGTCTCGTCGGTCTCCTGCTAAACCCGTGGCGGGGATATCATGGGGGGGTCGTCTTGGGGGCTCCCTGGGCCTTCTTCGGAGTCTCTTGGGGCCGTGTAAGGGCCATGCGGGCCTTCTATCTTGGGGCTCCAACGACATTCCGATGCTCCCCTGGGAAGTCTGGGAGCCGCTTGGAGTCATCTTCGGGCTGTCTTGGGTCCATCTTGGGCCGTCTTGGGGCGCCCTTGAACTGTCTTGAGCCACTCCAGGGGGCGCTCTTGAGGCATATTGGGGCCATCTTGGGCTGCCTTGGGGTGATCTTGGAGGCCTCTTAGGCTATCTGGGGTGCTTTGACGACCGAGAAAGCAAATATGTGACAGTGTCAATCACACACATACCTAAGAGTGACATCAGTTGATTGCACCACTTGGGACCCCTCAGGGGTCCTCCTCGGGCATCCAAGTGGTCCCCAGGATTCCTGGCGCTCTCCAGGGGCCACCTGGGGTTGACTTAAGGAGCTGTGGAGGAGCCTGGGGGCCTCAGGGCCTGGAGCAAGACCCCCAGTGCAGACCAGTCCTCGCCTGTCTACGTTCAAAACGCATGCTCTCGGGACCCTCGACCACCTGGCCATCGCTCGGACGTCCATTCCCTGTGTTTTTGTTCGGTTTCGTGCGTGGTTTTTCCGCCAAATGATCAAGGATGCTCCTCGATTGTCCTCGCCGAAGGAAAAATGCACACGTCCGAGCGATGCCAAGCGGCCAACATGCCTCGTAAACCCCTCCTCCAATCGCCACGACGGCGGCGGCGGCGGCGACGGCGGGCTGGCCCTCGTCCTCGTCGGCGGCGGCGGCGGCCGCCACCGTCGCAGGGTTGTCGTCGTCATCGCCATCGCCTGCGGGCGCCTCCTTTCGCTGAGACCTGACGTTGCAACACAAGTTGTACAAGATCGCGAAAAATCACAACTGGAGCCCTAGACCGTATCTTTCAGCGTCATTTTCCGAGCCGCATCGATCTGTAAGGGTCCCCCGGCCCGAAAGCGGGCGAAAACGCTCTTTGTGGAAAAGTTGCAACGCCAGAAAGTCGTTATCGTCCTGCGGTGCACCGGCGACGCCGGCGCGGAGAAGATCGAGCACCGCATCGAGCCGCATCGCCGATGCATCGGCGGTGCGGCGCGAACCTTCGACGCCATCAACCAGGACCCCATCTGGGAGCTGGGAGGCCTAGAGCAAAGGTTTTTCGGCGGTGGGCAAACCTCTTCGTAAACCTCTCTATAGCGAAAACGGCCTGGGACCGAAACCGACGGACCTGGACCCGCAAAAACGACGGCCGCGACGCCCTCTCGCGAACCGAAAACGGCCAATTCCTTAATCGACGTGTCAGGGTAGGAGGTCTGTCCACCCCCGAGTTTTGGTATCTAGGAGAAGGAAAGGGGTAGGGACAAGGAAAAGCGACAACGACACCACCACCAGGGGCCACAAGCCACCGGCGGCAGGAGCCACGGGGGGGCCCCCTGGAGGTCTGGTCCGCTCCTCTCGCTCGAGACGACCCCTATCCCCAGCATGGGGAGGCATCCTGGACCTCCTCGTTGGAGGTGGCAACCTGGTGTCATGTCGCATCTTTGGGGGACCTCGTCTGCCCAGTCGCGCCAACCATCAATGTCGCATCCATGTCGAATCCGTGTCGAACGCGATGAATCCGTGTCAAATCCGTGTCGAATCCGTGTCGAATCAGTGTCGAACCCACGCCAAATCCGCGTCGAGTCCGCATCGAAACCAAGTCGGGCGCAATGAAACGCACGAGTTGTAGGACAGACGAGGTCCCCCAAAGATGCAACGTGAGGGTTGGTGGTTGGGAGCCCGAATTATCCAGGAGAACTACGGTCCGGTGTCACTCCGCTTTGGGCCCCCAGGGAACGATTCTGTGGCTAACCAACTGCTCCCGATATTAATCCCCTGGGGATAACAAAGTTCGGGGTCCAAGCGGGATAACAAACGTTTTCCAGGAGATCTCAGCATTATGATGATGATGATGATGATGATGATGATGATGATGATGATGATGATGATGATGATGATGATGATGATGATGATGATGATGATGATCAGGATGATCCTGAGCGTTCATACGAAAATTGTTGTTGGAAAAACATAGGACCCCGCAGGAAATCGACAAGACTCTTTAGGATATCCACAGGACCCCTTAGGACATCCATAGGACTTCTGAGGACATCCATCGGATTCCAGATGAACTCCATCGGAATCCTCAGGAAATCCATAGGACTCCTTGGGACATCAATCGGATTCCTTGGGACATCAACATGAATCCCTGGGAACCCTTGCTACTCAACATAAGAAGAGAGCAACTTCGATTCGCAACCTTCCCCCGCGATTGCCAAATTCGGCCGTGCCGCCCCTCTTCCCCGACCAAGTCTGAATTGGCCGTGGATAAGAATCACTCAGTGGCGAAGGGGGGGGTACATTATCATCCAGGGCTCGGCTACCACCGACCGCCCACAACCCCGATGATTCGGGTCGGACGCCCGACTTGTCCGGGATAACTGCGGTCCGCAGCAACTCCAGTGTGGGCCCCCGAGGCGCGAATCTGTAGCTACCCTTAAGTCGGGCATGTCCCCCTACAGGGGGGAACTTGGGCGAAAAATTAAAAATATTTAAAGAATACTCCCAACATGTTCAAACATAGTCAAAAAAATAGTCTCCAGACTGTTTTTTTATTACTATTTTTGAACATTCCTCCTGTAGCCGGACAGGCCCGACTTGAAGCTACCCCTGACTGCCCCCAGCCCCGATGACTCGGGGCGCTGGGGTGGTGTCCCCCCTCCTTCCCCCGACCCCCGAGTCCTCGGCTGCCGTCATCAGCGGCGGGCCGTCGCCGTCGCCGGCGGCGGCCGCGCGGCGCCCAGCCCATGGCGACGCCGCGGAAGCTGTCGGCGGGCTCGCCCCCCAGGGCCACCGGGGGCTGCCGCATCTCAGGCGGGCGGCCCTCCTGAGGACGCGGGTGCGGGGGGGGGAGGGGAGACTCGTGGGAGCCTCCCGTTGGAGCCTCCCACACCATCTGGTTGGCTCTTGCGATTCGATGCTCATTGACGCTGATGCGTTCTCAAGACGGACTTACACAAGGCTCCCATGGCTTGCGACCGAAGGGAGATGAGGAGGCAACTGCTGGGAGGTCAAATGCGTGAACACGACTCAGAACCTTGCCATCGCTCGGATATCCATTCCTCGTGCATTGTTCGGCTTCGTGCGTGCATCTTGTTTGCAAGATGATCCAACACTCTCCTCGATTACCCTCAAGTGGTGATACGAATAGTAATACGAACACCAATAATACTGATACTAATAGTAATGCTATTATTACGAATACTCATCATGATAACAATAACAATAAGAATAACGATGATAAATGCACACGTCCGAAAGATGCCAAGGCAACGGCAGCGGGCCCCTGGCACGGCGAGCGCCTTCGGCGATCAGCAGGCGGTTCGCCGAGCTGGAGGCTGGAAAGCAGAGGTGAAGGAAGAATAATGGGATGGCGGAGGACGAGGATGAGTTCCTCCTCCTTCTCCTCCTCATCCCTCCCCCTCCCCCTCCCCCTCCTCCTCCTCCTCCTCCTCTTCCTCCTCCTCCTCCTCCTCCTCCTCCTATGCATGGGGATAGTGGAATAAGGAAGACGACGGGCATTAAGTCGGGACTGACCCTCTACAGGAGGAATACTCCAAAATAGTCAAAGAATAGTCTGGGGACGATTTGTTTTGTCTATGTGTTGACTAGTGGGGGGGTATGTTTTGAACATTTTCTATGTTTCGCTCAAAGTCCCCCTATAGGGGGACGCGCCCGACCTAAGACGGGCAGTGTGATGAAGACGGGGATGAGTTGGAGAAGGTCGACTCGCCATCGCTCGGCCGTCCACTCCCTGTGCATGTTTCGCTTGTGCGCATACATGTTTCGCAAGATAACGCAAAAGTCTCCTCGATGGCCCTCGTCGAGAAAGGCCAAGCCAGAGGCCAAGTCGAAAGAGGGTGCGGGGAGGAGAACAACGGGGGAGGAAACCTGAGGTGGAGGAGGAGGCCGACGAGGCGACGCGCACGGGAGGCGGGCCGACGAGGACGGGGACGGGGCACGAGGCAGAGGGCGGAGGCAGACGAAGCGGAGGACGACGAGGGGCCTCCAGGAGCGCCAGCGAGTACACCTCGCCGCGCAGCAGCGCGAGCACGCCGTGGAGCTCCAGCTCCAGGGCCTGGAGGGGGGGGTCGGCGGCGGCGGCGGGGGCCCCGGGACCGCGGGTCGGCTACGCTTGTGTCGGGCGTGTCCCCCGACAAAGGAGTGTTGGGCGAAAAATGCAGAAAAAATACACACAAAAAAAACCCAAAGGGGCAAACAAATACTCAACACATCGTCCCCAGACTATTTTTCTTTGACTATTTGGGAAATGCTCCTCCTGTAGAGGGACGGGCCCGACTATTTTGGAACGCTCCTCCTGTAGAGGGAAAAATGCAAAAATACTCAAAAATTACCCCGCAAATGAGCAAAAATAGTCAAAACATCGTCCCTAGGCTTTTCTTTTACTATTTTGAAATGCTCCTCCTGTAGACGGACGGGCCCGACTTAATCCCCGACTTCTCCCTTATTTCACTATCCCCATGAATAGGAGGAGGAGGAGGAGGAGGAGGAGGAGGAGGAGGAGGAGGAGGAGGAGGAGGAGGAGAGGAGGAGGGGGAGGGGGAGGAGGAGGAGGAGGAGGAGGAGGAGGGAGGAGGAGGAGGGAGGAGGAGGAGGAGGAGGGGGAGGGGGGGAGGAGGAGGAGGAAGAGGGGGAGGAGGAGGAGGAGGAGGAGGAGAGGGAGGAGGAGGAGGAGGAGGAGAGGGAGGAGGAGGAGGAGGAGGGAGGAGGAGGAGGGGAGGAGGAGGAGGAGGAGGAGGAGGGAGGAGGAGGAGGAGGGACGGGCCCGACCTAACGCTGAGAGGTCCGAGCGCACCGGGCCGCTGCCGCGGGGACCCCTCGTGGGTCTTCGGGTCGGGGTCGGTCATCGACGCCAGTCGTTGTCGTCATCGATAGTCGTCGTCGTCGCTGCCGCCGTGGTCGTCGTCGTCGTCGTCGTCGTCGTCATCGTCGTCGTCGTCGTCGTCGTCGTTCTCGTCGTCGTTGTCCTCGGTCGTCGTCGTCGCCGTCGTCGTCGTCGTCCTCGTCGTCGTGTCAGGGGCGCGGGCTTCGGGCCACTCTTGCGAAGGGTCACTCGTACGTTCAGTCGACCAGGGCGGGGGCGGATCCACAACTGGCAGACCCCTAGGCGACTCGCAACGGAAAGCGGGTATTCTTCCGTTTTTGTTAGCTCGCCTAGCTCCTTCAATTGATGCGACGGCTAGCGATAACACGCACTTTTTGATTTTTCAACAGCGTCATCCAGCCTAAGCGGGATATCATGTCTACCACACCAAATCTTGACCGAATGAGTTCACCGGGAGGAAGCAACGATGCAAGACGTGGTATGTATCCGCCACCGTGCCTGGAGGCACGAATTGGACGGTCCTCAAATCCCCTTCAATTCTGCACATTGAGTACTGCAACGGGGCCCAGAACCCGGATGCCCGGATCTGTTGGGCGCTCCTGTTTCGCGGTCGCAAGACTTTTCCTGACGCCAGAGTGCCCGATAAATCCCCTAAAACGGTCAAACGGACTCCAAGACAGCCCAAGAGCGCCCCAACATGCCCAAGATGGACCAAGAGACCCTCAATACGCCCCAGGATGGCACCAAGAGTACCCTCAAGAGGGCCCCAATATGCTCCAAGACGGCCGCAAGATCGACGGCCCGATAGGCCCCCAAGAGGGCCCCGCACGGCCCGAGAAGGCCCCAAGACGGCCCAAAAAACCCTCCAGAGGGCCCAAGAAAGGCCCACCAGAGGCCCTAGAGCCTAAAAGGGGGCCGCGCGTGAACATCTGGCCCCCTTCGCCGCAAGATGACGCCCGAGACGGCCAGCAGAGCGACATCCAGAGAAGACCACCCATCAGCCCAGCGCCCAGTGTCAAATGCAAAATACTTGGCCACGCGCACAAAGTCTTGGGCCTCGGAGAAATCTCGAGGTCGAAATGGTCCGCTTGTTGGCGCAATTGGCTAGACTTCTACATTGAGGTTCACCAGTCCCACAAGCCCGTTAAGGCGCGAGGGGATTAAAGCTCTTCCTCTTCTAAGCCACGTTTCTTCCCCTTCCCTACCCCGCCCCCCCTGTAATGGGACGGGGTTGCCGCGAGGGATTAGAATGTCCAACATGGCGTCGGCGATAAGGCCAAAATCAATGTTGTTAACGAAAAGGTGTTTGAGTCATGTTCGCCTCCTGGGGGGGCGAGGGCGTTCATTTACCACGGCTCGTACTTTGATCGATCGCCTCCAAGAAGGCCCCGAGATGTCCTCCGTGGAGGCCTCAAGAGGCCCCCAAGAGACCCCACGCCCCGACAGGCATCGTCCTCCTTGGCATGGTCATTCCTGCTGCTGCTGGTGCCGGTGGGCTGGGCGATGTCCGAACGACGCCGCTGGGCCTGGCGTAGTCAGTGAGTGCTCGATGGCCTCCTTGGCGTCGTTGCCGTCCAGGTAGGCGACGAGAGCCAGCAGGTGGGAGGAAGTTGGGCCATGTGCTGGTCTGCAGTCTGAGTCGCCCAAGGTCCCTGGAGGGATATATATACATATATATATATACATATATATACATACATATATATATATGTATATTCTGCGAGACGGATGTGGAGTACAGATGACCGCACTCGTCGCCGAGCGTCCTGGCACCGGAAGGCCATGCATGACCACGCACCCTCCAGCCAACCTGGACAACATGGCACGAAGATCCCTCGGAGGGGGGAGGGAAGGACGAGAAGGAACTGGGGAGCACACGCGGAGCCTCTTCGCAAGACTCGCCGGCAGGGCCTCTTCGCGGTCCCTGGAGGGACGTATGGCGGCGGCCTGAAGCAGGGAACGAAATCTTCCACATCCGGATCGGGCCGAGATGCCCCTTGCCAGCTCCGATCGGCGATGGTGTTGGCCTGGCTCTCGACGGCGGCGACGCTGGCGTAACCAGAACGAGTATTTGAGAACCCCCCCTGGGTTATTCTAGTACCGCAATTTTATGCATTAGTCCACGGGGGCATTTTCGCGGAGCGATGTCTTTAGCACCGCGCGCAAACAACAACACTGAATCCCAATCGGTGGCGACCCCTATGGGGCCAAGAAAGGAATTCGCAAGAGAGGCCAACAAAGATCCCTGTGGCTTAGGCGCGAGCGCGGCACATTGCTGCGCATGCGCTTGCGGAGGGGAAAGCGCCAGAGTCCGAGGATGGCTCAGCAGTGCTTAATAGTAGAGCTTAGCAGGGTCCAGCTTAGCAGAGCTTTGCAAGGCCCCGAGTGCCCTCTGGAGGCCCTACTGGTGCCGAGATAACGCTTCCAAGGTGCCGGAAGCGCTATCGTTTCACCAGAAGGGTGGGGGTTCTTTAATACACCTCGCGGTTACTCGTGTAGTCCTCGATGCCGTCTGAGACGGGCGGACTGACTGTCAGCCAACATCACGGCCAAATCCTTCGCCATGCGTTTGCCTTTGCGCGCGACGTAGGCCATTCTCCAGTGTGCCTTGGCGCCCTGGTGAGCAACACTCAGGGCCCGTCCCATCCCGTAGTCTCGCAAGTCGTGCGGGATCGCTCGTAGCATATGTCTTAGTCCTTGGCGTAGGCTATGGCGCGGGTACCGCGGCCACTTCCTTGCCCAGGCATGTCGCGGCCGGACACCTCGCCTGGCAGTTGCACGCTGCGGGACCCCCCGCCAATTAGTCGAGGGCCAGGCGGGGGGTCCACGCCCCCGAGTCGGGCAACAGCTTGAGCCAAAATGGCTTGAACCAACATAGCTTGAGCTAAAACGGCTACGGATCCCGCATTCTTCCTCCCTCTCCCACCTCCATCCTCCTCCTGCCCCCGTCTGCTCCCTCCCATCTCCTGCTCCCGCCTCATCCCCATCAACCCTTTCAGCCCCGCCACACCGCATCCGGCTCATTCTCAACCCCACTCCCCTCCTTCGACGGCGGCGGCGATCACGCTGAAGCCGACGACGACGACGACGCTTGAGCAGGGACCGACCGTCCCGGCAGTTCTATAGTCTTACCACGAAATGTCTTTAGAACCCAAAAATGTTCTAAGAACAAACACAATGCTCTTAGAACATAGTCACGATGTGTTAAAACAAGACAGTCCTGGCCAGAAATGTTCCAAGGGCATGTCGTGGGGACCACGAAAGGCTCTCAGGACATTCTTTGGTGGGGCTATCGGCGAGCCAGGACGCTTCGCCACTGCTTGATGATGCCGACTCGGGTCGGGCGAAAGGGGGGATAGCAAAGGGGGGGGTTGAGAATCAGCTCACGTAGCTGATTTTCCCGGCGCCTCCCGGCGCCAGAGGCGGCTATCTATCGAGGAATGGCCCCCTCGGTGAGGCCGAAACCAGCTGCATGCAGCAAAATTCGTAACCCCCCCCTTTCCCACTCCCCCCCCTTTCGTCCGGCCCGACCGACGCCGACGCCGGCGCCGGCGGCGGCGACGTCGGCGCCGGCGCCGGCGAGGACGACGCGCGCCGGCGGGGGGCGCCTCGGCGCTCGGTCCGCCCGCGCCCGGGCCCGCGCGCCGCGGCGGCTCCGCGGGCGGCCAGGCGCGCAGCCAGCCCTCGAGCGCGTGCTCGAACCTCGCGCGGCGGGCGGAGGCGATCCTCCTCCCCCTCCTCCTCCTCCCTCCTCCTCCCCCTCCTCCTCCTCCCCCTCCTCCTCCTCCTCCTCTCTTCCTCCTTCTCCTCCTCCCCCTCCTCCTCCTCCCCCTCCTGAGGGGCGGCGCCGAAGGCCCCAGGCCTCTGGGGAGCACGGGGCAATCGTGACGGCATGCGGTCCTCCAAGGCTCCCAGCTGCCTGGGGCCAGCCTCGCCCTCTCCCTGGGGACCGTGGGCCAAGGGCGGGACAGGTGGCCCTCGCGGCATGCGGTCCTCCATGCTGCTCGGCCCCTGGGGGGGGGGGTGCTGGAGGCGCCCCGGGCCCAGGGCTCCCCCGGCCCCTCGCTCCAATCCAAGCTGGAGTTCCTGGGGCCCTCTGAGCCTCGTGAGGGTTGCCCTGGAAGGCGCGGGGGCCTCCCTGGAACTCCTGGGGGGCACCGTGGGCCAAGGGCACTTCTGGCACAACCCGACAGGTGGCCCTCGCAGGGCCCAGGGACCGTCAGCAGCAGCGTCTCAGAACGAAACAGATCCCTCCTGCAAGCGCCTGCTGGGGGGTGGGGGGCAGGAGGAAGGCAGACACAACAAAGAGGGGGAGGAGGAGGCGGAACAGAAAGGGCAGGAAGAAACCGAACCTCGGGCTTGTACCGACCCGGGTCGATGAGGGGGCCCTGGGACACACCAAATAAATACATACAGGAGACCAGATTCCCCCAGGTCTTTTCCTATATGTTCTGGGTTCTGGTCTCCCCCCCACTTCCCATAGTTTCCCCTAATTTCTGGGGAATCGACGATGACTTGCGTGTCTGTGTGTGTTGCTTCCCTCCTGAGTCGGTGCAGACGGGCCAGCCCAAACCTGGAGCATCCTGCGGAAGCCTCTTGGTAGTCCCCAAACGTGGTGGTGACAACACCTGGCGGTGAGTCTCGGGCGATTTGGTGTCACCACCCGGTTTGGGGACTCGTGCGGTTTTCCGAGGATGTCCCGAACATTGGTGGGTCCAGGAGTCACAACACCCGGTGGTGACCCCGTGTCCCCAAACCCAACGGTGACCTTTTTGGGGATTCCAGGTCGCCACCTGGTATCTCACCACCCGGTTTGGGGGTTCCCAAGCCTCTGCGGGGTCCTGCGCGCCGCCCCGGGGTCGGGGCAGGGCTGGTCTCGCAGGGTCCTGCAAGATCGCCGGCGCTGGGCCGACCCCCCCCCCCGCGTGCAGTGGCCCCCGCATCCGGGGAAGCCAAGACATACAGTCGGGGCGTTGACCTAAGGAACCCTGAATAAGGAACGAGGCCCCTTTCTCCCATAAGTTGAACTTCGATTTCCAATGGGAAACCTCAGGAGAACCGAAGGTACACTGCAGAACAAGCAAGGAACACCGAGCCCCTCCCCAACGAAAAGGGTTCCTTCTTCAGGGCCCCGACTGTACCGATGCCGCCAGTCCCCTGGTTTCTCTCGGGGTGCGCTACGACCAAAGTGTGAAGCGAATCCAGCAGTGGTGTCGAGGGTCTCCCGGGAGGCCCAAGCAGGGGAAGCCGAAGGAAAGGCAGCGGCATGGGTACCCTTTTCCGTCCTCTGAGTTTCATGGCTCCCGAGAGCGATCATATCCAGAAGCACTGGCGCCCAGACGTGGAGACAGGATGGCGAAGGAAGCAGAGGCCCCGACGAAACGCCTGGAGTAGTTAGGGGGGGCGGAGAAGCAGCTCAGGAGTCCATCCTCCTCGTCCTGTTGGTCGTCTTTTGTCCTCGTCCTCGTCTTCCTCCTTCTCGTCCTGGTCCTCCTGCTCGTCGTCCTCGTCCTCGTCCTCCCTATTCCCCTCGTCCTCGCTTCCCTCGTCCACGAGGACGAGGCGGAGGCCCTTGTTCTCTACCTCGTCATCGCATTCCTCCGGGAACGAATCGAAACCTCCGGGGGGTCGACGTCCTGGCAAAATCGCGTCGCGGGTCTGGGAAGAGGCGCTGGGACAAGCGACGGCGGCAGCGGCTCCGCCTGAGCGCCCCCGCCGCGGAGACTCCGCCGCCGCCGTCAGCCTCGACGGCGGTGTCGTCGAGGTCTTCGTCGACTTCTTTAGCGTGGAGGATGGGGGGGGGGCACAAGCGTCCCTTGATGGGCCGCCGCCTCCCGCGGGGCCGCCGTGCGCGCCGGCCTCAGCAGGCGATGGGGGGGGGGGGCCGCTCCCCTCGCCTCACTGGTGGGCGCCGAGGGGGAGGTGTCTCGCCCCTCGCGGGCCAACGCTACGGGGGAGGAGCGGAGGGGTAGAAGGAAAATGGGACGGGGGGGGGGCGGGATGGATGAGGAAGGAAAAAGAGGCAGCGCAGCACCAAAGCAGCAGCGACAGCGGAAAAAAGGCACACAAAATAAGACCCCCAAAATCGCCCACGCAGTCGGAGAGCAGACGCCGACGTGCCACACATCGGCTGCTACGATTACGATGGCGGGCCACGACTACGACGACTGCGAATGCGTATGCGTCAGGGGCGCTCTCGCGGAAAATACCGCCTCAGAGACTCGATATCCAAAGACTCTATCCGCACAAGCTTCATCCTGAGAAAAACTGATGAAGCTCAGGCCCCACGCAGGCTCCCAGAAACTCCATCCTCAGAAGCCCCATCCTCAGAGAGATTGCGAACAACGCCTTCGGCGAATAATGTGTCGATCCAAATTGTAATCCTCTTACAAACGTGCTCAGCAGTCCCACGTCGCGCAGGGTAGCCCAGTTGGCGCTTGCCC